GCAGTGGACTTGTGAAGGGCTGTGATGATGATGATGATGATTACCTTCTCTATCTGAAAGAGTATGAAATAGTGTCCCAAGTAGCTTTACTTTTATTTTTACTTGATTGTATAAATCTGTTATTACTTATACTTTGCGCTTTTTGAAAACATTTCTTAAGAATCTTACTGTACTAATAATAATAATAATTTAATAATAGTAAAACTGATCACCATCATCTGAGGCGGCTGGGACTACGTGACGAACCGCTCCGGGCTCAAATGCAGAAGGCGGTGCTCCTCGATACCGCCCGCTTCGTCCGCCGGTTTCTTTCCCTTACCCCCTAACCCTCGGCCGTGTGGTCTCCCCTGCCGAGGGCTTCATCTGGTTGGGCTTTTATTAATTTATGTATTTTTGTATTTATTTTATTTTAATTATATTTATGTATATTTATCTTTTCATTTTAATTTATAATTATATATTTATAAAACCCAACCACATGAGAAAACTTTATAGATACCCCATAAAGTAATATTAATATTTATTTGCTGAACATAGGTACGATTAAATACAGGGGTATTACAATGCTTTACAATGATTCTAAGTTCTACCAGGAGGCATGCAAATTAACAATCTCATCCAGATAAATTGGAAAATTAGAATAATTTTTGTAACTTTGTTAGCATTCAATAAAGTTTATGCAGTAAATTCAATTCTAATTATTAATATATAATCAATTTTGGTATTATAATATTAATGTCATGGCTACTTCCAAATTCAATACATAAATTGTAAATAAAAAAATACCATGAATAGAATAATTAAGGCTTAGAATGTTAACTAATTAGTCTGTCTGAGACTTCCACTTCATTTTCCTGTCAATTGTGAATCCTATGAATTTAGTATCATAGAGCACTACCTCTTCCATTTTGTTGTTTTCATGTTTATTAATATTTTTTGGGACAGCTTTTTTGGCTAAGGTATTTTAAGGTATTTAGTCTTGCTTAAGTTTATTTTTAAGTTATTATTTAACATCCATAGATCAGTGTTAGTCCTTTGTATTATAACTGCACTGTCGTCAGCAAAAAGTGACATTGGTCTATTACTAGCTTTCGACAGATCGTTAATATACGTGCCTGTGGCCACGTATATTAACGTATAACGTGGTGTGCTTGTTGGCGTTTAGTTATCTGATTTACTTTTTCACTTCTTTATACTGCTTTTTGTTATTTAATTAGGATGGGATGAGTTCCACAACTTTTCCTCATACGCCATAAGCATTTAATTTACTCAGTAAAATGTTGTTTATTTTTTATTTTTTTATATTGAAACAAAATCTAAAGCTTGTACATTTACCAATATATATAAACAAGTTTTGAACATATTATGCAATATAGAAGCATTTATAGATTTACATTTTTTTTTGCAAAACATTTAAATGTATTTTTTTTTCGTCTTCAGCAATGTTAATACATAATTTACAGTGTTTGTCGTAAGATACCTTTATCTGCGTCATAGTGTAGGTATTATATTTATACGTATATTGAGTATCGGTGTGTGTGTGTGTGTGTGTGTGTGCGTGTGTGCGTGTGTGCTTGTGTGCGTGTGTGCGCGTGTGCGTGTGTGCGCGTGTGCGCGTGTGCGCGTGTGCGCGTGTGCGCGTGCGAGCGTGTGTGCGTGCGTGCGTGTGTGCGTGTGTGCGTGTGTGCGTGTGTGCGCGTGTGCGCGTGTGCGCGAGTGCGTGCGCGTGCGCGTGTGCGCGTGTGTGTGTGTGTGTGAAAACGTGTGTTAGTTTGTTATATAATAATAAAATGTGTGTGTGTCACAACTTCAACCTATCTTAAAGTTTGTGGCGGCGCTCTCGTCGCGCCGCAAGCGAAACACACCGAAGCTTAAATCACGCTATTAACATTCCGAATCATAAACAGCATATATAGAACATCTCTGAACTATCACACGGAGCGTTAGCCGCTCCCCGGGCAGAACACCTTGCCCGGCAGGAGATCTCCCCTTTTCCTTCCACGGCTACAGTGGTGACCACCCGACGTGATATGAACACGCAACCAACAACCTTGGGAAACTACAACTTTCAAGCCTTCATTATCCTCAAGAACCTACCATTCACTACTGAGAATCGTCTTCTGCAGTCTTCAGTTCCTGCAAGCCAGTCCAACTTGTCTTCGTTTCGACTCACCGCAGATTTCTAAGGCATACGTCTGGCACTTGCTCCGGCACATCGTTCTCACCGGCATCACTTGCCAGTGCGTAGTACGGCATGCATTAAACATCGGCATATTATTCGCACCGGTGTCACTTGCCCTTACGCACACAGCATGCATTCCCCACCACCGGCATTAAAAGGACACACCGGCAATCGGACTGCACTATCGACCTCCGGTCTGAGCAGGGGGGTGATGTGGCGGCGCTGTCGTCACGCCGCAAGCGAAACACACCGAAGCTTAAATCACGCTATCAACATTTCGAATCATAAACAGCATATATAGAACATCTCCGAACTATCACACGGAGTGTTGGCCGCTACCCGGGTAGAACACTTTGCCCAGCGGGAGATCTCCCCTTTTCTTTCCACGGCCACAAGTTAATAAACGATGCCATCGGCCAAAACCTTTGAGACAGCTTTTTTGAATTTGGTCTTGGACAAACAAAAAAGGTCAATGCTAGAAAAGTATTTATTATATGTTCTTAGTACTCTATTTGTAACAGAGATCCACATAATCATAGTCCTGGGTCATGTGACAGAATATAGCACTTATTGGAATTTTTGTATCCACTTTGCCCAAGGGGCCAACAGCTGGCATTGAGAATGAGGGACTCTTTATGATGAACTCTTTCTTCCAAAAGCGGCCCCATAGAAAGTGGACCTGTTCGAGCCCCGACGGTTCGACAAAAAATGAGATTGACTTCATTGTGACGACCAGACAACGTCTGTTCAGTGTTGTCTCAGTGATCGCAAGTGTGAAAACTGGCAGCGATCATCGAATGGTTAGAGGCACACTGAACGTAAACGTGAAGTTGGAGAGGTCACGTCTAATGAAGTCAACACTCCGTCCTCCTCGTGCTCTAATCCGAAGCCCTGATAACTCTGTTACAAAATATTTTTAGGGTTGAGCTTTTCACGCCAAGGTTGGATAAAACTATTAATATAATATCCATTTTACCTAAAACTTCTAAGGTTTTGTTCATCATGAGTTTTTTAAGTTGGAGTACCTGCAGAACAGAACAAGCAACTTAGCTTAATATATTAATGACACTTTGTTATTATATCTCGCATAATATTTTAGTAGAAAACGAGCAAAACAGGGAGTCGAACTTTATATATTGATTTTGAAAATGTTTGCTAAAGGTTGGGCCAGAGGTATTTAAAGAACAATTAGTCGGCTGCTTCCCAGCCCTCAGGGAAAATATTTGCCTATTTCTGCCAACCCTCTTTTCTGAAACACGAAGTGGAGTTTGCTTTAGTTTGTTTTTATTTGGAGATATTATTATTTATTTATATATCACTGCGTTCTCAGCAGCGCGGCGAGTATGATTATATCGGCTGGGCACAGGTGATTTCTGGATCTCGACAAACAACAGCGACACCTACCGGAGCCAATTGAGTTTGAAGGGACCGAAAAATTGATCTAAATCTGTCGAACCATTTTAGAGTTTTTCTGTGACTAACGGACGTCGGTTAATTTTTATATATATATAGAGATATATTATTACGTAATACTTATAGAAAATCATTTTTTACCACTGCTTCGAAAAAAACATTTGTCCTGGTAAAACCAGCAAGAAACCCAACGGGACTTTTTTTCTTAACATATTTCACTTTGCAATAATTTTGTATGTAGAATTTTTAAATGAATTTTAATAGAACCATGCTGGTGGAGGTCACCTCATTACAAGGGGTTATTTTCATTTATGTATTTTTTGACATTATAATAACCCTTTTTGTTCAATTTTTATATAATTAAATATTTAAACTTGTTTATTTATTAATTTTGTACATTTTTATAGTAAGTACTAGATTGCCAGGCAGAAGTTGTTCTGCCCTTTTCGACGACTCTTTGTCATGTCCTATTAAAAATTCTTAAATTAGCAAAAAAATTCTGGGTCACTCATGGGCAAAAAACTATCCTATCTTTCAAGTTGAATCAAACTGCGCACGGTGTGAAAATTTCATTAAAATCGGTTAAGCAGTTTAGGAGTCCATCGCAGACAAACAACGTGACACGTAATTTAATATATATTAAGATAATAGTGCTATACGATACATCGTACTGTCCAAAAAACTCCTTTCTATTTAGATCCAGTGTAAATATTATCAAACCGAAAACAGCTACACAACTTGTTTCCGTAAACTAATTGCAATGGGGAACTCGGCATCAAACCTAAATTAGTACTATGAATGAGTAGTTGTAGATAAAAACTTCTAAAACCATTTTTGAAAATTTTACAGGAGAACGTAAAATGTATCTACCATTCTCTACAATCTTTTAACTGGGAAAATGGTTATGTGTAAATAAGGAAGAGTCATTAAATATTTTACATATTGAAATAGCGTTAATATATGCAAACGTATTAGAAAGCAGAGAGCTTAAAAGAAACTAGATATCCGGTTTAAATTAGTAATATTGGATTTATCAGGTTTTATGGTTGATCCGGCGTTTTTTAAAAATTCGATGCAACAACATCAGGCATTAAGCAAGTAGATGATGATGAATGATGATGACGCAGATAAAATATTATCGTATCTGCGTAGTCTGAATGCTCCTGCAATAACATCAGGGCCGGAAAAGGGGTAAACACAAATCACATCCGAAAAGTAATAATTACTATTTTATAAAACAATTACCCTCAAAAAGTGTTACGCAATAATTTTATTTTGAATTAAAATTGTTTTATTGTATATAAATGTTATATAAATGTTTGCAATAGCTGGTCTTCAAATCCAACACCTGCACCCTTCTCTAACCACTAGAGCGCTGTATAATCGAGTGTATGCTATGTTTTAGGCATGGAGATGGTACTAGCAACCGCCAACAGGACCCAATCTACCAGTACAAGACAAGTAGTCTGCCAGCCGCTTCATCCATCAATCAATCTTGGGACGAGATAGTGTGCTCTGCACTCCGAGTGTCGCCGGAGGATATAGCTAATCAACTGTCATTACTGGACTTGCCATGCTTTAAGGCAATCCAGCCGGAGGAGCTTACCACTTGTGGTTGGAATAAGACGAATAAATTAACAGTTGCTCCCAACGTGGTGGCGTTTACTAAACGGTTTAATAGGGTTAGTTTTACTATCCGTCTTCTATATATGTATATATAAGCGAAATTTATATAAAAGTTTATATAAAATATAGCGTGAATACATTGACTTACACAGCTCTGGCGCCAGAATTAACAACTATCTATAATTAGTTTTTATTATTAGAATATTTTTACATCAATAAAAATCATAACCCTTGACATTGTGGTTATAAGGTGAACACTATCGTTAATATGACCCGGAATTATTTGATCGCCAGTCTTGGCCAGTTGGCCAGTGGATTCCCCATCGCGGTTCTAAATCTTTGATGACACTCTCCATTACCGCGCAGGTCTGAGTATTTTATGTGCGGCATAAAAGAGATGGTTATACCACTTATAGTCGCATTCTACGACACCCACGGCACGAAATGGGTTTCTGGATTCTCTTACGTAACCACCACAAGCAATATTTTTATTCCTCATGAATGAATTATAAATAATTACATTAGTGTCTTACGTGATTTACTACGTAAGAAACATCCTAAGGGTTATGATAGGGTTATGTTATGCTTTAAAGTATAGTTTTTGCATGGATTGGTCGGCTCAACCGTGGAAAAACCATGTTCTCAGAAAATACCAGCGTAAAATAGTAGTTTGATACTGCTGTGACCCTTTTCTCTGGAAACGAAAACTTTCGTTTTAGAAATCAGGGCGAGACAATGAAATCGCATTTTGATTCTTAATTGAGGATAAATGTAGAAGTCTATGGACCACAGCTTCCACTTAGGAGTAGGTGGACTGTGTGCTCATTTCTCACCCTCAGTCTATAAAAAAAACTTATACTATATGTGGTAGAGCCATGCTGCAGTTATATTAGTAGTATAGTTGTAGCACGAATGGGTCGGCTCGACCGGGGAAGGACCACGCTCTCACAGAGTACATGCGTCAAATAGTAACTAAACTCTGCTGTGTTTCGTATGGTGAGTGTAGAGAACCGGAGACCCTTTTTACTGGATACGAGGCATTCCATCTTAGTCCTCACGGGTGACAATGCATCTGCATTTTGATTCGTAATCGAGGATAAATGTAGATGTTTATGGGCTACAGCAACCACTTACCATCAGGTGGACTGTGTGCTCGTTTGTCACCCTATCCTATATAAAAAAAACTTGATCAGAAAATTATTCTTTGTACTAAAATGTTCATTTGATTGCTTATTTTAATCTTATCCAATTTTTTTTCATTTTTTTGTGGGTTTTATTTATGTAAAGTATCTACATTTTTAAGAAGATATTGTGAGCTTTTTATGCCTTGAATATTAAACATGTACTAAATTTACATTACGCAGGTGAGCTTCTGGACAGTACAAGAGATACTGAACGGCCAGTCGCCCAAAGCCAGAGCGGAAACCCTGGCTCACTTCATAAAGGTGGCCAAGAAATTGCATGAGCTCAACAACTTACACTCGCTCTTCGCTATTATTTCTGCGCTGCAAAGCGCTAGTATATACAGGTAACTGCGAGTTATCTTAATATTTTATTTTATTCTTATTTGCTTGGAAAGCTTACAGCTAATTTAGTAAAATAATATAAACTTTAACTAAAAATTAGGACCATTTACAAGTTCTCATTTAAAGAACACTTAATATAAGTAGAAAGAGTACGTCAAAAGGGATATACTCTTTTTTGTTATATTAATGGATATATTGAACTGTGTATATAGGGCGCACACTTCAGTAAACAGAACATTACCAAACAAAAGGAGTTATTAGAAAGTGAACGTCTAAGTTGGGAGAACGCTGAAAGAAAATAAAGCAATATCCATGTTACGATTATTTGATGTACCACTATAAGATCTGGACGATCGAATTATAAAAGAATTTTGTGTGTAATTAATTTTCACGTAACGATATTGAAAAAAGTGTAGGTTTACGCGATCCATAAGATGAAGTATGTAGAATTTTACCCAGGTTTTTCAGGACAACATTTTGGTTCACGATTTAAAAGAAAAAAGAGGGATCTGCAATATTTTTCCCTCATATAGAAGGAAGCTTTTGAAATTTTTTACACCGAAGAGGGAAATACTAAGTATATATAGTAGGAATAGTAAATGATTATTGAACCGTGTGAAGTTAGCACACGAGTGAAGTAACTGCACTAGTGAAGTAGAAGTGAGTGCACTAACTTTATACGTTTTAATAATCAGTTGCTTAGGTTCCGTGCATCGTACATTATTTTATGGTATAAGTGACTTAAATTCAAGAAAAATTTGACTTTAATCTAAATTCAAGAAAAACTTCAATTGAAATTAAAATAAAACGAAAATGTTCTTTTTGAGAATTCTAGATTTAAAATATCAACATCATGTCCGAATGATGAATTTTGTCAATAAATACAGAGAATCAAAAAGTTTCAGTACAAGAACAACAATCTAAAGATCTAATTTAACGAGAGCAAAGATTCAACTGGTCTTGATTTACAGAAGTTTTTTCTTATAGGCTAAGGTGACAAAGCAAGGAGCACACAGTCTACCTGATGATAAGTGATCGCTGTGGCCCATAGGTTATTTTTAGTAGAGATGGGCCGAATATAGATTTCACCGAATACGAATATTCGACGGAAAGTTCGGTAAAACTTTTTCCGAACCGAATATTCGGCCGAACATTATTCGGCAGAAGAATCACCTCGGTAGCTAACCAATTTATGTCGTAACTTGTTACCGTAAACCGTAAATTTTTTTGTAAATTTTTTCACGATCATATGAGTCGGGCATTTCTGGATTTGCTAAGCTTTTTTATTGATGTTTGACATAAAATTATCGGAAATTAGAAGTGATAGTAACAAGGTTATTTGTGAAAACTTATGTGTATTTAAAATATTAAAAAAAATGACGTATAACATGAGCGCTTAAGTCATGCACATTTGGATTTACCAAAAGTTCTTTTACGGGGCGATTTCATATTTGTAAGGGGAAAATTTTTAAATTAGTTTTGTTACTCGAAAATTGGCACAATTACTTTTAGATTATAATAATGAATACTTTATAGGAAACCTTACGAGAGTGTTAATATAAGGGTATAGGTTATAAGGTTATCAGGAAGCGATGTCTTCCACATAACCTTATTATATAATATACCATTAAGTAAAAAAAAATGAAATAAGAAGTACGGATTATAAGAGTTCCAAGTGATAAGTTTTGAGTAAATTTTTGGATTTGAAAGATTTTTGAATATGTTGAAGGAAGGAGTTCCACAGCGCTGTATGTAACAAAAAATAATTCATTAAAGGAAGAGGAGTAATGTAGGAAAATACGGATCTCGGATGGGAAAATATGTTTTCTTGATGAAAAAAGAACAGTACAAACAGACATATATGTTACACAATTAACTACACAAAACAAATTAGAAAATGTTTGGTAGGGATCACGTGATTTGTTGTCATCCATATGTTCTTTAATATTATACGAGGGCAAAATAAACTTAACGTGAAATAATTTTTCCTTAAAGATATATTCTCCATTAATTCTAATAACTTATACCTTCGAAAAAATGTTATGTCAAGGCCCTCAAAATAGGTAGAAATTGTCTACTTCACTTCTTCGTCATCTGTTAATTTCTTTCCGCGAAGCTTTTTTTTATATTTGCGAACAAGTAACAATCCGAAGGGACTAAATCTACTATAGAGAGAGTGTTTTAAAGGTTCCAAACCGCACTGAGTAAGGAAACTATCGCAACATGACTCTTGTGAACGGGTGTCATGCAAAATGGACACACACCTCGGGAGCACTTTCCTCTTCTTTTTTATTTAACCCCATTTTTTAATTTTTCTAGTAGCGTACCGTAATACTGTCGCGTAATATTGACAATTTTATATTTATAATCGATCAGTAATCCCTAATCTTTCCAGCCGATTGTGACACCTTCTTAGGCGGGGTACTTCGCCTCTTTTATGCCACTGTAGGGACTCCTGTTTTGACTAAGGTTCATAGTGATTAATTAAAGTTTCATCCCCAGTCACAATTCCGTTCATAACTTCGTTCTTGTTCCCACTACACCGGTCCAAAAACTCGTTATAACTTTCTGAAGCGGTGTTCTTTCTTATGCCCATCTTGCACTGATCTTCAACATGCCAGGATGGTCAAGGGGAATCTGAAACGGTTGTAGATGATACTACAGTTTTTTCTTCGGACGAGCATCTTCAAGTGCTAGTTATTCAACTTTTTCGACTGAAACAGAAACTTTTATTATTAATAGTACCCATTCAATGGCACTCTTTTGTTGAATTACCACTAGTTCAGAAAAAGCCTCCGTCCTGGGAAGAACCAGCAAGTAACCCAACGGGACTTAAAAAAAAGAATAACAGCTTACGATCATCTATGTTACACAATTAACAATATAAATTAGAAATAGCTTTGTAGCGATCACCACATTCTCAGGGCTTATTATCATCCATAAATTCCTTAATATTATAATAACCCTTTTTATATAAAGATAGGTCATTAATAGTAAAGAAAATAGTAAGGAAACAGAAAGGGGTCGAGAATTAAGCCCTAAGACACATCCGTTTGTACTATCGGCCCGTAAGAGCTCATACTTTCCCACTGATGACAACTTTTTGCGTCCTGTTACTTAAATATGAAATAACTTATTCAAGAGCATCGCTTTGTACACCGTAGTGTTGAAGTTTCCTAAATAATATTTCATGGTAAATACAATCGAAAACCTTGGTTAGGTCACAGAATATACCCAAAGCATCCTGTGAATTCTCCTATGCATTGAAGATATATTTAATCAGCTCAACACCAGCGTCAGTTGTCGAGCGACCTCTTGTGAAACTGGATTGATTTTTATGAAGATGTGTCCCGTGATGTATAAAGTCTCGGAAATTTATACTTTCAGATTGACGAAAACTTGGGCGTGCCTGTCGAAGAAGGATAAACAGCAGTTCGATAAGATGGCGGAGCTCTTCGGCGAAAAGGACAACTGGATGGCGCTGCGCGAGTATCTTAGAAGCATCTCTTTGCCCTGCATCCCTTACTTAGGTAAGTCATCGCGTTTTCTCATCTCTTTACTCATCAAACGTGCAGTGTAAACTTAACCCAAGTGACACAGGATGCATTTTAACAAATAGTAAACATACAAACGAATAGAAATGTATGGGAAAGCCTATGTTGAGCAATGGAGTTAAAATAGGCCGTAGTGATGATGTTCACCGAGCATCTTGACGCTTTATATTGGTATTCCAAAACAATTATGTTGCTTTACACTGTATAACGGTTGGATAATGGCATATCAAAATTCTTTTGTAAATCCTTCAGTTTTAGTGCAGCAAACCAGAACACAGCTGTGTAGCTTTTAGCTGTTTTGAGTGTATATGTACTACAATAGCATTTTTAAGTACTAAATTAATGCATAATTTTTTTTATATAGAAGAGGGACAAACTAGCATGCAGCTCACCTGATAGTAAGTGACTATCGCCGCCCACGAATACCGCAACACCGGAGGAATTGCAGATGCGTTGCCGGCATTTTAGAAAGGAGTAAGCTCTTTTCTTGAAGGTCCCTAAGTCGTGTCGGTCCGGAAAAATCGCCGGTGGTAAACAATTCCACAGAGAAATTGTACGAGGAAGAAAACTCCGAGTAAAACGCATAGTGGTGGACGGTCAAGCGTCCAGATGGTGCGTGAAATTTGGCGGCTGGGATTAATCCGAACAATTCGATAAAGAACACAAAGGGCTGCAACATCCCTACGCAGCGCCAGTGAATCGAGCCGAAAGAACACAGTCGTTGTCGATTCGAACTGCTCTGCGCTGGATGCGGTCCAGTGGAAGGAGCTGGCACTGAGGTGCCCTGGTCCCTGTTATAAGAACAGTATTCCATGTAAGGCGGAACTTGCGCATTGTAAAGTTGTAAGCGATGTGCCGGCATGAAATACTTAATACAATACAATAAATGTCTCTCTGCCGAGCACGCCAAGCTTTTTAGAGGCCAACTTGTCCTTCCTCTCCAAGTGCCCACCAATCTGCACACTATTCGATATAATGATTTCTTATAGGTCACGTAACAACAACGGTACGGTAACATCTGTGTAGGATGTCTCCGAAAAAAAAAATTGCCAAGTGGTGTTATAAAGTATATCTGAGGTGTTGTGTTTATAATATTGTTGAAGCCTGATAACTGTGCTATCTAGTGGTGAAATCTGTTTTTCATTTCGTGTTGAAACATCAAAGATATAATCAAATACATTTTAAAAATTTATAATTTGACCGTTAAGAACCTGACCTAAGACAACCCGCAGTGCGCTTATTCTTGTGAGTCACAGTTTTCGACTACGGTCGGCTGCTGTCGAAGATTGATGAGTGTTTCGAGCAGGGTGTGGCGACTGAGATGACGTCACGCGAGATGAGCTGCGCGGGATGCCGCGGCGTAATTAAGGAAGACGGCGCATTTATGAGATGCACTAAGTGCAAGCAATATTATGATAATTTATGTGCCAATTTTGCTACAGAGGTGTTTACTACGCTGACGACTGAATTTAAGAAGACATGGATATGTTTTGAATGTCGAAGCAAAGTTCCCAAAAACGATAATACCCGTACACCGGTGCGTCAACAGCTAAGCTATGATGTGAGTGTTATTAATGAATGCTTAGATGTATCGATGTATGGCTCCGATAATGTCACCTTCCGTAATAGACAGAGCCAGGCACCAAGGGTTATAAAGCCCGACCAGTGCCCACATAATATGGCCCCTGTAGTGCAGGAAATTAAATAAATTCCTGACGAATTCGAATCACGCTTAACTATGAAAATTTGCATGTTACTAACTGAGCAATTTAATGAATTCAAGACAATAGTATTTGATAAAATAAACCATCTTAAATGTAAAATTGATTCATTGAAAAAAATATCCAAATAGTAGATCAACGTAACAGTGCACCAACGCAGGGCAGTACAGTAGCGGTGCAAAAATCCGCCAATCCCGCCTTAAACATAGATGTTGGGAAGACAAAGGTAAAAAATCTAACAGGCATACAGCAGCGAAAAAGGAAGATGCTGGCAAGCTTTATACATCTTCTAAAGTTAAAACAACTACATCTTCTTCGCCACCACCTCCTCCGACCTTTGCTTCTGTGGTGGACGCATCGAATATAAATATACATCTTGACGCAACCCTAGAGACCACAGATACAGTTGAACAGGAAAATCAGGAGGAGTGGATACAGGTGCGACGGAAACCTGGACGAGCATCACGGCTGGGAGTGCTCCGTAGAACGGCTGCACCTGGAACAACTGAGCTTCGTGCATCTGAGCGGTGGAGGTACCTACATCTCTACTACGTGCAGGAGGGTACCACTGTTGAACAGGTGCGTGCACATTTGTATTCAATTTGCGGTAATAATAATTGCACAGTAGAAGAACTGAAATCTCGGGGGCGCTACTCATCATTTAAGTTGGGAGTACCATTGAAGATTGCTGACAGTATTATGTCACCTAATAATTGGGCTGAAGACATCTGCGTAAAACCATGGCGACAGAACTATTGTGGCAAAGAAAAAAGAGCGTAACCTTGTTGGTAAAAATAAAACGACAGAAATATTATACCAAAATGTAAGAGGATTACGAACAAAAATAATGCAATTCTTCTCGCTCGTTGAGTCATCGGTATATGATTTACTTGCGATAAAGGAAACTGGTCTCAACGCATCATTCCAAGATGCAGAAAACGTCCCCCCGGCTACCAAATACTACGCTGCGATCGAACAGACGGCCGTAAGCAGGGAGGAACGTGCTTAATGGCAGCACCGCAGTTTGAGCTGCGTAACGTGCCTACACTGGATCATGTTAACGTGGATGATCATGCGTTTGAATTAAACTGTGCTACAATACACTTAAGAAACAGATTCTTATTTACATGTTGTGTAGTATACATTCCGCCCCAGACTAATTTTGAAGACTATATGATTATGTTTAGCGTCATAGAGGATATATGTGTAAAGTACAAAAATTATGTTTTAGTTTTAGGAGATTTTAATCTATATTCAGCCAATCAAGATGTTTGTAATTATTTTGAGTATTTCATGTCCTTCTGTGAATTCATCCAGGGCAGTAGTGTTGAGAATTTCATGGGCAGACAGTTAGACTTAGTATTATACGGCAGTGGTATAACAGGTGTGATATCAGTGAGTGAGACTGAGGGTTTACAACCGGTAGATGATTGTCATCCACCATTGATGGTCTGCCTGTCAGCGACGGATTTTGAAGAACACGCTACAACGGACAACAAATGCTCATGTGACCAGAAACAATGGAACTTTTCTAAGGCAGACTTCAGTTTGTTATACAGTAGTATTTCTGTGATTGATTGGAGTGAACTATACACCATTTTTGATTTAGAGGTTGCTCTAGACTATTTCTATCGTACTATAAATAATATATTTAATAACTGTGTTCCTGTTAAAAAGCATAGGTTAGCAAATAGTAGGTATAGCTACCCACAATGGTATTCGATGGAGGTCATTCGCGAAATACAACTTAAATACAAGTTACATAAAAAATATAAGGCCAGTGGGTCAAAAGATGACTATCATGCTTTTTCGCAATGTAGAGCGCGAGTTAAAAAAGCAATTTAATGAAGCTCATAGGTACTTACCAGGAGCGAGTGCAGAATAGTTTTGTGAAAGATCCAAAGGGTGGACCGTGAAAAAATAAACGAGGTGGTATCAATAAAAATAATTAAGGATGGGCGTTTCTTATCAGAGAGCGAATGTGCAAATGAATTAGCGGCATATTTTCACTCGGTGTATAATTCGGAACCTGCCGTGTTAGAAGTAGCGGCAGCGGCAAGCGCGGCTTGCGCGCCGGGTGGCGGTTACGCGCATCGTGTGCACCTCAACGAGCTGAGCCTTGCCGACGTGCGCCGCGCGTTGTCAAACTTAAGCCCAAGCGCTCCACAGGTCCAGATGGTATACCTCCGTATATTGTTAGAGATTGTCGTGAGGCATTCGAGGCCCCGTATCTCCATATATTTAATATCTGTCTCAACAGTGCAGTTTTTCCTAATATATGGAAGTTAACCAGGGTGGTGCCGGTACCCAAAGGCAGTGGTGGTACAAAATTTCGGATTATAGACCAGTGGCAGTTCTGTGTACGCTGGCAAAGGTTTTTGAGTTAGAATTACATCACTCACTATATACGCAGGTAAGCGCTCAACTTTCGGACGCGCAACATGAATTTCGCCCGGCGCGTAACACCGGCACGCAATAATCTGCTTCATCTGATGTCAGAAGTGGTACCAGCAGTGGATTCGGGAGCACAGGTGGATGTCGCATACCTTGACTTCCGTAAGGCGTTTGACACGGTCGACAATGATATCTTACTTATGAAACTGGCGCAGGCGGGTTGTACGCCGAAAACATTGTCATTTTTCGCCAGTTACATGAGAAACAGGAGCCAATTTGTAGACTGGGCTGGTCAACTGTCAGAACCATACCTTACCAGGTCAGGAGTGAGTCAAGGTAGTAATTTAGGCCCCCTGAAATTTGTCCTAATGATTAATGATTTACGCAATCAGCGATTATGGCAATCAACATGTCTTCTATTTGCGGATGACTTAAAATTGGTGTCAATAGTTAAGGATTCAGCTGACTGTGACAAACTACAGGCAGACATTGACAGAGTAGTACAATGGAGTCATAGGAATAAGTTATTTTTTAACACTTCCAAATGCTCAGTCATGTCGTTCACATATTCACGCCAGCCTCACACATATAAATATAATTTAGACGGAGTAGCCTTGCAGCGGGTAACAGAGGTAAAAGACCTTGGTGTTCACTTTTCTTCAAAACTCAATTTTAGTTTGGGGGGGGGAAATACGTTGTGGGCTTTGGGCTTGTTCACTAGTGAAAAGCCCGTGCAATGGCTTTATATGAGCCCGCACGAAGCTAAGTACAAATTGATGGTGGAACGATTTCTTTATTTAAAATTATATGGAGTGTTGTTCTAGGCATGGTGGGGTATAACAAACTGGAGGTTAGGAGGGAGTTAAGTTTGGCAATATATATGTTTAAATTGCTGCGTGGAAAAGTGTATAACGAGGCGATATTGCGAATGGCTAAGTTGTGTGTGCCGGACAGGTACGTGTGGCGCCGGAAGCGGCCGCCGCTGTTCGCGGTACCGCGCGCACGCACCAACCTTCTAAAGGAGGCCCCACTGACCTGAGTGCTGCACACTCTAAATAAAGTAGCACAGGGTATAGATTTATTCTGCTGTTCCTTGGGTGAATTCACAAAAGTGATATTATATGTATTGTGTTATAATAGTTGATAAGTTGTGTTCTGTACTTATTAAATTAGATAGTTTTATGTACCTACACTGTCGTATTAGGAATGCCTGTAAAGACAGAGGTAGAAATAAATAAATAAATAAATAATAAATAAATATTTATGCAAATACTACACATTGATTAAAACTACTTTTACGGATTTTATCGCGTTTAATTTGAATTATTTTTAATTTCCGACGTTTCGGGTGCGGGACTGAGATGCCTGACGTCCCGATGTCATTGTTAAGCCGGAGTACCTTCAGCTTTTTTATTGTATATGGTCCGATCTATGCAAAATGAACTGACTGTGTTTTGAAGTCTTGCAGTGGTATGCTTGGTTTTTTTTCTGGGGGGTATGGTTTTTTTTAGTATTCAGTTGTTGGTATTTCAAACCTCTTAAGCTTGTAACGGTGAATACTAATCTTCTTCGGGGTTGTAAATGTTCTGAAGCTCGTTTTTTTCCGCTTGTCGGAGCGGCAACTCATCAGAACGCCGTGTTTGCTCACGTTGTTTTCAACGTGTTAAATTCATTTTTGGAAAGATTTCGGCGCTGAACTTCGACGTAACGTAGACGAAATGTCTTGACGAATGGCCTCTAAATCTTCATTCAATCACATTATTTATATACAGACAATCCTCAACACTTCAGATAATGTCTTCACACCGTATTCTTTGCGGTGTTATTGCGAAATTCATAATAGGAACCTATAAGTTTTTTAAATTATTAGAAAGTTATTCAGTCAGGGTTGTTTTTTTTGTCAAGTTCATATCAATAAAAAATTTCTCTCAAAGAGAAATTTTAATGTTGTAAGCTAAACCTGTGCTATTAGTAGTTAGAATATTGATGTTTAGTGTTTTTACAGACGAACACACATGCTAGCTATAATACTAACAAAAAAATCTCTCTAATAATTACTTCACATAAAAAGTCAAAGCTAAAACCTTTTAAAATTTAAAACGACTTGAAATTAAAACAAATAAAAATATAATCATGAAAACTATAAAAAATTGCGGAACATACACAGGGGTCCAATCGATAGGTATTGGTGTCCTCAGACCACAGACCTTCGCTGGTAGACGTTTGCTGGAACAACCTGTATAGGTTAAATATGTAATACTTTAAGTTTAATTATGAACACCTTTATGAATTACACCTTTATGGAAGCCGAACCAGTCTGTGTAGGCCGTTCTTCATGTTGCGCGCCATCATCTTAAAACAGGCATATGAGTCCTTATAAGAGATAAAGATTTTAACCCTGTATATGCCAAGCGCTCAACTCATACGTGTCTATAGTCAACCAAATCTAAGAAATACATTTTGACAGCTGTCATACTTATTGCATTAAGCATGCCAACCAAAAAATGGGAACCTACAATATTCGATTCTTTAAAAAATCGATGTTGATTATTTAAAGTTGTTAATCATTTACAGTTTGTTTGAATAATACCAGAATAAATTAAAAACGGATAATTTACAACACAAGATTTATCAGTTTCTTCGTATTTGTTGTTACACTTATTTCTAGAGGCACAGTTTTAGTGTTAGTTATAAAAATTTAAGATTAAAACTAGATTAAATATAAACTTATTCAATCACTTTCAGTACAACTAGTTGAGCTGTCGTTGTTTAGATTAATTATTATTTGATTTTCAATAATGCAGTCAAAATTAATGTCTCTTTCAAAGTCATCCATAATCAATTTTTTTTTGTTTTTTCTACCACTTTTGCCCAATCATCCTTTGTGACATGGCAGTGCTTGAATAATAGTCCAAAAAGTTAAAGCCAAGTTACAAAATAAGAATACAAACACAAAATCACAAAATTACGCTCAGTAAGCTCCCTAAATGGCGGGAGATTGAAATTACGTAAAGGTTTTTTCAGCGCGGTCTTGTATATGAGTTTTTTACCTATACAAATATACGTTGACAAAGTAAAAAAATAAACTTCTTTTATTAATGATACATGTTTAAGGAATTTTAAAAATAAAATTTTTATTAAACAAATAATATATTAAAAAATTAATGATTCGATTATTTGAATATTTTTTCTTATTATTAGCATAACAATGAATTTTAAATTATCCAAACACTACGGTAAGGTACATGGCGACATATAATTGAAACGACGTCAAGTAACAAAGTTGATACTGGTTATTTTTTTAATAACTTGCTTTGTTTGAAAGATTCGAATTTGAATTAGTGATAAAAAAACTATACACGCAGCACGCTGTAATGAAATATAAATAACTTCATAATTCATCGAATTTACGTAAAAGGTTGTTTTAAATCGTGTCAGTACGCTTGTGCAAAGTTATTGCAGAATGATTAATGTGAAACGTCATAAGGTATTTCTTAGGTTTGGTTGACTAAGTGTTTGTCATTGAACCATTCTGTCCACTCTGTCAGAAGCCCGTTCTAAGTCCGAAAATGCAAAAATATATTATTATTTGAACGTTTATTGTTGTGCTGTCGTGTAATATTAGTCTGCATTGAGCATGTGTTTCGGATGGCAGTAATGTACGCTAATAAAATTGATGTTGATGGGTGGAATTTGTAACAATGTATTAATTATACGTTTAATGGTGTGCTCTAACGTTGATTAGTCATCATTGAGAATGTTATGTGATGATGTCGCGTGTAGGCATCTTCCTGACGGACCTGGTGTACATCGAGCTGGCGCACCCGGCCGGCTCCCCGCAGCGCGCCAACAAGATGGCGGCGGTGCTGCGCGCGCTGCAGCGCTACCAGAGCTCGCACTACAACATGCCGCCGGTGCCGCAAGTCGCGCACTACCTCAACAGCGTGCGCTACATCGAGGAGCTGCAGAAGTTTCTAGAGGACGACCACTACAAGTAAGCTGGCCTAGAACCACATTGTCGCATACTCTTTTTGACCAATATCTCAGTCTTAATTATGCTCCCCAATTTTTTCATTGACTTGTCAAACATAGAATGCTTTCAACTGCTGCTGTAGACTGCATTATAGTAGTATGTACTGTACACTACATATATATAACCGGTATGAATGTGTTTTTTGAAGTGGACGCTTTTTATTGAGTCGTTGTGATTTGAAACTCAATGAAAAAAAAAACGCGTTGTGGCGGTGTTAGGTTTGCCAGACCGGAAGACCAAAATATCTGGACAAATTTTGAAAATGTCGGAATTTTTGGGTTGTTGTCGGGAGAATTAAATGTTTAAAATAAAAAGTTTATTTTTTAAAATTAAAAGGCTACAAAAAGACTTAATGTTGTTGATACATAACTAAGTTAAGTTAATTTTTAGGTTGCCACATGTATTTTGGTATTGGAGTTTAATACAGTCCATCAATTTGGATCTTTTAATAGCATCCTGAAAATATTTGAAATTCAAACAAAGTTCTGCCCTGTTACTAACTCAGCATTTATTTAATCAAAGGCTATACGTCAAATTGCCGAGAAGCAATTTATCTGGAGATTTTGAGTTTTGTCGGGAGTCTGGAGATCATTTAAAATGTCGGGAGAATCCAGACAAATCCGACCATCTGACAACCCTAGGCGGTGTACGAACATCGACCAGCCCATATCATCTCGTGAGTGTCGTAAGAGACGACGGAAGGAAACAAACCAGCAGATGGGCATCAGCGTCTTCCTGACGTCTGCCAACCCGCCCGCCCGGCGTGGCGACTGTGGTAATTATTCCTCTAATGAAGCAATGTATAGAAGGCACCTATGTTCAGCTGTGGACTTTAATAGGCCGCAAAGGTAACGGATCCTAATCAGGACAATAAGATAAAGTTATAAAATGTTTGTGTTGCACATTTTCAAGTCAATCGGCTCTCTTCGAATTTGTGAAAATCACATTATAACTTTTATATAAATAGATAGATACACCATTGACCGTGTAGTGGCGGTTGAGAATATCCACTACCCCATATCTTCCCGTGGGTGTCGTAAGAGGCGACTGAGGGAAACAGGCAGGAGATGGGCAGCAGCATCTTCCTGATAACAACTGTGTTATAATAAAAAACTGCGGTTGCCAACCCGCTCGCCAAGCGTGGCAACTATGGCAAATATCCCCCCATGAATAATGACGCAAAAAACGGCCCCCAGTCCCCGGCGGCCCCGCTATTCCTGGATACGGTGGCGACCATGGTAACGGCGGGGCAGGGGGTGCTAAGAATCTCCGGTGGAGGTTCGGTTGCCACCTACGACAACTCGACCTGGCAACTTATAACGCACGCACCCTGAGGACTGACGAGAAGATACTGGAGCTGGAAGAAGAGGTAGACAAGTTGCGCTGGCATATTATTGGATTATCCGAGATCCGAAGAGAGGGGGAGGATACGGCAATCCTCGAGTCCGGCAACTAGTTCTACCACCGGGAGGGCGACCATCTGTCCCAAGGAGGTGTCGGATTTATCGTCCACAAGTCTCTCGTCAACAACGTTGTAAAGATTGGGAGTGTGTCGACGAGGATCGCGTACCTGATACTCAGAATCACCAAACGGTATTCGCTGAAGGTCATACAAGTTTACGCACTAACCTCGGCACATCCCGATGAGGAGGTGGAGGAAATGTATGAGGATATTTCCAGAGCCATGCATTCCTCCAAAACCCACTACACGGTGTTGATGGGAGACTTCAACGCAAAACTGGGCACAAGAGAAAGCGGTGAGCTGAGGGTGGGGAAATTTGGAGTAGGGCAACGTAACCGAAGGGGCCAGCAGCTGGCCGACTTTATGGAGAAAGAGGGACTCTTTATGATGAACTCTTTCTTCTAGAAGCGGCCCCACAGGAAGTGGACCTGGTCGAGCCCCGACGGTTCGACAAAAAATGAGATTGACTTCATTATGACGACCAGACGCCAACTGTTCAGTGATGTCTCAGTGATCGCAAGGGTGAAAACTGGCAGCGATCACCGAATGGTTAGAGGCACACTGAACTTAAACGTTAAATTGGAGAGGTATCGTCTAATGAAGTCAACGCTCCGTCCCCCTCGTGCTCTAATCCAGAATCCCGAAACCTTTCAGCTCGAGTTACAAAACCGCTTTCAGTGCCTAGAGGATTGCAATGCAGTGGACGATATGAATGACAAGCTCGTGGAAACTGTCCATGCGGTCGGAGCTAAGTTCTGCAAGACCCGCCGCAGAAGAACACAAAAACTCTCCGATCACACTCTTAATCTCATGGCTGTTAGACGGGAGATGAGGCTGCAATCGTCAACAGATTTGACAGCATACAGGCAGCTGAACAGACCAGATCTCCAAATGCATGCGGCGAGACTTACGCAACTTTAATACTGCTCGTATTAAAAAAGCGATCGAGCGGAACCAGGGCTCCAAAGTCTTTGCCAGAGATTTGTCTGCCAGAAGGAGCCAACTGTCAAGGCTGAAGACTGAGTGTGGCAACATCGTTTCCGGGACACCTGAGATTCTGAGTGAGATTGAGAGTTTCTGTGGGCAGTTGTACACATCATCGTTGGAGCCACACGCAAGTGTGAGTAACGATCCAAGAGCAAGTCTTATCCGACACTATTCCGATGATGTCCCGGACGTCAGTCTGAGCGAGATTAGAATGGCTCTCCACCACCTTAAAAACGGCAAGGCCCCGGGCGAGGATGGAATTACAGCGGAGCTTCTGAAAGCGGGTGGAACACCGGTACTTGAAGTCCTTCAGAAGCTCATCAATTCCGTCATCCATGGTGGCATTACTCCGGAGGCGTGGAGCAGAAGCGCGGTGGTCTTGTTCTTTAAGAAAGGCGACAACGCTCTCTTGAAGAACTACAGACCGATTTCCCTTCTGAGCGGCGTCTACGTGCTGTTTTCGAGAGTCATTACGAATCGTCTCGCACGCAGACTCGACGACTTCCAGCCTCCCGAACAAGCCGGTTTCCGAAAAGGCTTCAGTACCAAAGACCACATACATACCCTTCGGCAAATTGTACAGAAGTCCGAAGAGTACAATCTGCCACTTTGCCTGGCGTATGTGGACTATGAGAAAGCCTTTGATTCCGTCGAAATTTGGGCGGTGCTACAGTCTCTTCAGCGGTGCCAAGTTGACTGTCGGTATATCGGTAGCCCTACTGTACAAACATCGGTATCGGTGTTTGTACAGTAGGGCTACGATGGCTATCCGAGTACAGAACCAGAGTACGAAACCTATCCAACTGCGGAGAGGTGTAAGACAGGGTGATGTTATATCCCCGAAACTCTTCACCGCTGCGTTGGAAGACGTTTTCAAGCTACTGGACTGGAAAGGATACGGTATTAACATCAATGGCGAGTACATCACTCACCTTCGATTTGCCGACGATATAGTCCTTATGGCAAAATCGCTCGAGGACCTTAGCACTATGCTCAATGACCTCAATGGTGTCTCCCAACGGATAGGTCTTAAGATGAACATGGACAAAACAAAGATCATGTTCAATGTCCATGTCACACCTATGCCGGTAATTGTTGGGAGCACTATGCTCGAAGTTGTTGACGAGTACTAGGTAAGTCCAACTCCGACCGAGGTCAATCGACGGATTCAACTCGGCTGGGCAGCGTTCGGGAAATTACGACACATCTTCTCATCAGGTTATACCTCAATCTCTGAAAACTAAAGTGTACAACCAGTGCGTGTTGCCAGTGATGACTTACGGATCTGAGACGTGGTCCTTCACCGCTGGCCGTATGAGGACGCTCAAGGTCGCTCAGCGAGCTATGGAGAGGGCTATGCTCGGAGTTTCACTGCGTGATAGACTCAGAAATGAGGATATCCGCAGTGAAACCAGAGTGACCGACATAGCCCAACGGATTAGTAAGCTGAAGTGGCAATGGGCCGGCCATATAGCTCGTAGAACCGATGACCGATGGGGAAGAAATGTTCTCGAGTGGCAGCCTCGTACTGGTAGGCGTAGTGTAGGGCGACCCCCACTAGATGGAGTGACGACCTGGTAAGACATGCAGGAAGTCGATGGATGCAGGTGGCTCAGGACCGTGCTTTGTGGAATTACTTGGGGGAGGCCTATGTTCAGCAGTGGACTTGTGAAGGGCTGTATTGATGATGATGATGACCATTGACCGAACAACTAAAACGGACCAGTGCACTGGCCCTAAAATTATAGCTTAGGACCAACGCGAATCGGTCGACAGTGATGCGCGCGCAGGACAGATTTGCCTGTCATAAATATGTCTATTTGCGTGGTAAAAGAATGTAAAAGTTACGATAAAAAGAATTAAAAAAATAACATGGGATATCGTATCATCGGTAAACAACCTTATATAAATTTTGTTACAATTAAATTATTATATAAACGCATTTTTAAAGTTTTATTTTACAGTTAGTTTAGTTCGTATGGTGAATGTAGAGAACCAGAGACTCTTTTTGCCTCGTATCCAACGAGGCATTCCATCTTAGTCCTCACGGGTGACAACACATCTGCATTTTGGTTCGTCATCGAGGATAGATGTAGATGTCTTTGGGCCACAGTAACCACTTACCATCAGATGGACTGTGTGCTCGTGTGTCACCCTATCCTATAAAAAAAGTTACGTTACCAAGATTAGACCAGGGTTAGATTCAGACCCTCAAAAATATTGTACATGGAAAATAAAAATATACTTACTATTTAAAAAAAATATATCACGTTTCACCTTTCATGCTTCTTTTTGCCCCATAATTTTGGCGTAACCCGTCTAGTTTATCTATACGTTTCGTTTTTTGACGGTTTTATTTTTATTTTTGTTTATTTTGTCTAAGAACTTAGTGTAAGTTAAATTTTGGATATTGGTACCTAATATTTTTTATATTCAATAAGGGTAAAACGAAAAGAGTACAAAAGAAAACTGCCTAATTGAATATGAATATCTGATTCATAAAATATTTTGAAGTTCTGTTTTCAAACAGATTGCTTCTGGAGCATAGAGTTTTTATCGTGGTAGCCCCTCATCATAGTTGTATCAAGGATGCAAAATAAATGCAATGAATGCATCGATCGAACGTGAATTGACCAGAAAGGGAGCTAATTATAATTTTATTTTTAAAAAAACGCGGTACTTATGAACAATTTAGACATTTTTGATATCGTAAGGTTAATATTAAAATGTAAAAGGACCCAATAATAATACAAGTCGACCTTTAGGTTATTATGGTATTTTTTAATTCCGACCCTGGTTACGTCGTGTTTTGATATGGCGCTACTTTTTCTTGTATGAAGAAGTTATGAGAAAAATATTTTGATGGACCTATCCTTCCTTTTGAAATCATTGAGATACACAGAGTTAATAAAAGCGTGTCCAAAACGGTTATTTCAGGCTATCGTTGAAACTGGAGCCGCCGTCTCCAGTGGGCAGTTGCGCTGGCTCGAAAGAATCGGTGAAGGAAGTAGTTCCGCAGGCTACTGCCACTCCCTTCATGTTGTCCCCATCGCACCGGCTGGGCTCTGGCTCCTTGAGGCTGCAGGGCTCCTACCAGGCCAAGTTCATACCGACACATAGAAAGTGCCGGTCGCTGGGATCCAAGTATGTACACACATCATCATATTAATAATTATACAATTTTTTTTAATTTATTATATACACCAGTCCTTGACCACCATCCGCCTGGTGGCGTTGAAGCCCTAAATAGTAAACCGCACTGCCTTAGCGCAACAAAAGCCTGTGTACTATTGTCTGGAAGACGGATTATATTATCAAACTATTTTAAAGTTATGTATGTCTTAAAAATATAATCCTGCTGTGTTTCTTGCTGGTTCTTCCCGGGATAGAGGTGTTTTCCCAACCAGTGCTAGCTAAAAAAATATTTTCAATATTAAATTGGATCGGTATGGACTGTCGAAAAGACGTATCCTTGTAAGAGAATAACCGAGGTTTCAAGGAAAGAAAACACAATTTTAATTTTCCAGAATTAACATTTATTGTAGTGTTGTAGGAGTACAACATAACGAAGTAATCATAAGCAATATTAATAAAAATATTGTTAAAGTCTATATTTAATAAAAAATATTCTATTCTATTCTATAACTCCTGTTCTACTCGGTTCGTTACGAAATAAATTTCATACAAATATGATGTTGTACAACTAAAATTTTTAGTGATTCCTACACTGATGCAAATTATAAAGCTGCTCTAAAAGTAAAGTTATTGAATAAGCTATGTGGCAATATTAGTAAACCGCATCACTTCAATACGTGTTGGCAAATTTATTTACACTTTGTGTTATTTCTCAGATATGCAAGTTCCTATCGGTGAATCAGCACTTCAGATTGCAATTAACAATTTCATTGGTATTGATATTGGTGGCGGTAATCGAGCCCAGGTTGCTCGTGTACTGTGAGATATATCGAGAGCGTTTAGCACCAGAGCTGTTAACATCATGTAACGCATCTGCCCTTAAACGTGTATTCGCGAGGCATGATAGTAAGTGTCCGGGTATGATCGTGGACCTGGACGTCACATGGTATCATCTGTATACCAAAGATTTAAATAGTTAGATGCGCCTTCATCTTGAAAACTGTAGCATTATTTTTGAATGTGTTCGTTTGCAAGACGTTGACGCGCGCACACTAATGCAATAGTGTCATCTCTTATTATACAGAAATTTCCTACAGAAATTGTGTATACTACTTTCTCTGTCGCACAAATGAGCACTGATTGCGAATGAGTGAGCTCACTCATTTGAGAATGGACACATTTCGGAGTGGTCATACAATGATAAGGACGCATCTAACTATTTAAATCTTTGCTGTATACTGTATGTATACTACATATTTGTAGACGGGCCCTACCGCCCTGTCACTCTGCCGCTCTGCGGGGCTGCGGCCTCAATGTATTGCGCACTAAGTTACGCTCCATACACCGCAACTTTAGTCGACTGCGGCCGGCCGAGAATACTTATTTGTTCTGCAAAAGTTCTTTTGTTTAATGTGACTAAGAAAATGCTGTCAGCATTTATGTGCGCACTTAGTCAACGTGACTTGAGGTTTATTTTAGATGAGTATGTAACTTTCTTTTGTATTTGCCTAAAACAGTGACTGTCGTAAATTAAAATACAGTTACCGTGCCAGCAGTTTTTGTTCCGAATTGCCGGTCTAGTAATGTACAGAAAAGTCTTTGTGAAAAATATTAACTTACATAGTATTCACTACATAAAACATACATAGTGATGATACTCTTTTCCGCTGTGGTGCGCTTCCATATAATAATCGTTGAAATTCAAAATTAGCCTATATGAAGCACTACTTTCTTTGGTTTCAAAAAGTGCTCCACCATCAAACATTTTACTGTAATGAAATCTCTTGAGTAGAGTTCATCATTCATTTATTTACCTAAGATAAAGGTCGCCTACTATGTACATTCATTACGCACCCTCGTTGCTCAGATGACCGCGAGACTATAATTATTGTGAAACGACTCGTGGATAAAATGTTGTTTAATGCTTGTAGTATGTTGTTTAATTAAAATAGGCGCCGTATGGTTTTGATGTGACACTGTATTGTTATTGCCTACAACTTGACGTACTAAACTCGAGAATGCTATGTATACACGTGCGAAGTTTTATTTTGAATACATTTATTTCAATATGTGTAGTTTTTGGATTGCCTTATTTCAAAAAATTTGTTTTTTTACAAATTGTGTTCTTTGTTAAGTTTAATTTAATATTTTCATTAAAAATATGTTTCTTTACTGGTTATCACTTAGAATATGTTCTGTCTAGAGACATACTCGTAAAAACGAACTTCGTCTAGTTTGTAAAACATTATAACATTTACTAATATGTCTCTCAAGTAGTCGTATATAATTGTTTTTGTTTGTGACTCTGCGCTGTTACAGAGGAGAGGTTGTTTTTAGCAATATATAAAGTAGATCTAATAGCAACTATAATATAAAGCAAGTGCTTGCGATATATTTTTAATTACAAAATTCTGGAAAGAACGTAAGAATTTTCTCCATAATTACTAAATTTCATTCTTTGATAAATGATGTGTCATTTAGGTTAAAGAAGCTCCTTGACGCAGTGAAATAAATATTTGTATGGCTTACAAATAATTGTTCCGCATATTTGACTATGTGAAACTTATAATTGTAGACTGCCTCCACGATACTACAATTAGTACTAGTGTGGGGATAACGTATATTTTCTTGTTGGTAAAAGCAACCTCTGTGCCAGCGACTCGTCGTCGAGACATAATCAATATTTTATTTAACGTGTCTACTCAATATGCAAATTATACATGAAGCTATTTTTTCTGGCGTTGGGTATTTAGGTTTCGTAGCGCGAGTTTGCCAAGAAATTTTCACAAGGTCAATTTCGGTGTGGGGTGAGTCCATTTGATTTGAGGTTAATTCGACGGCTTGTATTGGATGTTATGTAGACAATAATTGAGTAATGCAAGTGATTACGTACTTATTGTAACTTAGCGCACGCATGCGGCAATACGTGATAGTGAGAACGTATCTCGCATCTGCGACAGTTGTTCCTTGTGTACTGTACTGTAGGTGTACGTCTTGTTAGCGGAGGGCAAAATAAACGCAGATTGCAAATTGAAACGCGCACGCACTCTGCTCTTGCACACTATCTTCCATAATAAACATTTGAAAATACCAATTACTTTTTAGAATTTGAATTCCTCTCTCCTATCGTCGCTTTAGAACTAGTACTGTAATTGGCTTTAAGCTTTAATGTTTTGTATTAAGATTTAATATAAATATTTAAGCGTTTACTTTTGAGTCTTCGCTAACGTACTGTGTGCCTAAATAAGTTTACAGATATCGCATGTATATAATATTATTATGAACAAACATGGTTGAGCGCGTTGCAGCTAGGTATATTATGGCTGCAGCATGAATAGGTAGACTCGAGCGCGGAAGGACCACGCTCTTACAGAATACCAACGTAAACTAGCAGCTTAATGCTGCTGCGTTTCGTAGGGTGATTGCAGAGAACCGGAAAATGCCTTTACTGGATATGAGACATTACGTAGTAGTTGTCGAGAATGACAACGCATCTGCATATTCATTCTTAATCGAGGATAAATCTAGGTGTCTGTGAGTCACAGCATCCACTTATCATCAGGACTGTATGCTCGTTTGTCACCCTTATTCCATAAAAAATAATCTCGTTATAAATCATTCAGTGGTATATTTTGAGTTTTTCAAAAGGAAGTTTAAAACGTTATACATTGTGAGAGCAAATTCATTTTCGGGTCCAGATAAATGTTGTTAGAAATTTAAATTTGATCATCAAAGTGAGTGTAACTTTGGCAGTAAAAGTACGAGAGGAGGATTTTATAATAAACAAGCTTAAAGCTTATAACAGTAATATAAAAACCTGATTGCGTAAAAAGTTTACTGAAAACTGAAAATATTACATCCTATATCACTTCCACAGCTAATACAAATCTAACAACATCCCATATGTTAAAATCAATCAAGCTGTTTAGGGTACCTACAGTGCGTGCCATACAAATAGACATTCATACGTACGTACAAACACATATAAATACAAACTTACAAACACCAACTCTCCTTCTAGGGCAGTCAGGTAATAACGTCTGGATAATAAAAATAAGTGAAACTAGTGTTTGTTTATCTAAATTTGTACTGTGTAACGTACTCTTTCGTTGGCAGATAACTGTGACGTTTAATTATGTGAAAAAAGTATGGTTATGTCTTGTGCAGTTATCTCACTTTACTTGGTACACTACGCTTGCATGCACTCATTTCCGACATTGAGCGTTATTTGCATTGCTTGTCAACTTTGCACTTACGTTATATATTCATACAGTACTCTCTCTGTATTGGCTATATTGATATCATTCAACATTGTCATGCTTATCAATACATATAAGATCGGGGAAAAGTTTTTTCGTATTTTGTTTGTATAAAGTTGAAGGAAAATCTCTTTGGTTGTATGTACTGTGTATCTGGCTGGTTTTACCCAATCAATACATATAAGACATACAGAAAAAATAAAGTTATACACTTTCCCGCCATTGTTTTGCTGCCCGCCAAAATGAGTGAATCTAACGAAGAATTTCGATACATTCTGAAGTTTTATTACAAAAAAAAATAGGAAAAATGAGATTTAAACCGCGGAAAAAATAGCAATAGTCACTAAGAGTAGCAGAAAGGGCTGGTTTTAATATCAATACATATAAGACATTAAGAATAAATAAAAATATAATAAGTTAAATACACTTTCCCATCATTGTTTTGCTGTCCGTCAAAATGAGTGAATCGAACGAAGAAATTCTTTACATTCGGAAATTCGGAAAAAAGTCGAGGAATTTTGATGTCAAAGATGCGAAGTCGATGCCATTTTTGAAAAAGTGGAACAAGATTATTTGGAAAAGTCTGGCTATACAAAAATGCTCGATATTTGGATACCACACGAGCTCACCGAAAGGAACCTAATAAATAAATCGTGTACTCATTTGCGATTTTCTATTAAAATTAATGAAACCGAACCAGTTTTGAAAAGATTGATCACTGGTGATGAAAACTGGATCACCTACGACAAG